AGGGGTTGTTTCTCCGCAGATCTGACCTGTAACTTGGTCTGATTTAGTCTCCATGAAGATAGAAAGGTTTAACGCCATAGAGTGACGAACCCTTCACCAGAAAAGTTACACAATGCAGCTTTAAAAGGATGATGAATTTACACAGTTATTACTTTTTATATGAATTAATAAGCAATATATTTAAAAAAAAACACTTTGTAGGTTCATTAATTAATTTAACTACTCACAGTTATTTAAGTTAAAATCAATTATTGGAATTCAAGTCGTTTTAACACATCTCGATGCAATTTAAATTTTTTTGCAGAGTAACATCTCGTCAACAGATCTGAGCACTGTTTTGAAAGATTCCTTGGTGTTTAATAAGCGCAGGGGTCGCCATGGAGATGACATTGATATATTCTGTCAGCACTAAAGTCTAGTTGAAAACACTGTACGCTCTGCACCTGTCCTGTCCCGAGCACTTTCCCGTCGTTTAGGTCCCAAACATGGCCGCCGTCAGTGCACTGTAAAACTACGTGTTCGAATGTAGACCTCACCGAAGGAGAAACCACCGAAGTAGCAGCTTTTGTCCGATTTCTGTCGACGTCGTAAAGGATTAAAGGGAGGTAAAGCCTTGGTATCGGGGGTTTTTAAGTTACCAAGGAGCAGTTATGTCGGATTCTTTGGTTTAAAATTGCATCTGTTTGTCCCTAGAGCCACACTATGCAACAACACGTAGACCAATGTGTTCAGACGCCACTTTATAAAGGTTTAAGCAAAATAAAAATACTAAACTTGGGATGGCAATTGTAGCTCTGCATTTCAAGTTAATACAATTTCCAAAATCAGTTTTCATACAAGATATACTGCAAAAAATGAATATCTGGCATGGCTTTTATTTAGAATTATAAATGTTATTTGAGTAGTTTTGACCTGGTTTAATGTATTTATTTAATTAACCTAGATTATTTCATTTATTTTATAATATATTGACTAATTCAGCTTGGAAAAAAATCTGATTTCAATACATGCATCCTGAATTTTGAACTTCCGGTCATCGTGCAAGGCATACTGGGAAGGATCCTCCGAAAAAGTGAGCATCAAATCACCATGTTTGGTTTTTGGGATGTGTCTATTGTCAAAGCCGATCTTTTCAAGTCTTTTGAACCATATCGCTTTTGTTTGTGGTTCTGATATTGTCATATTTTAGTTATGGGATTCGGACATCGTGATTGTGTGGTTGTTGGATCCTAACAGTGGAAAACAGCTCGAGAAATGGGCTTTGGAAGTTTGCGAACTCCATAAATGCAAAAGGGAATCAGATGTGTGTGACTGCAAACCTCTGTTCAAACTGTTTCCCTTCCTAACAGAATTGAAAAATAGTGAAAGGTGAAGGCGAAGGGCTGATCAACAGGAAGGACGAAAAATGAAACCTTTGGCTGCCTAAATCATCCAGAGTTTGCAGCGAACATTTTGTATGTGGAGTGACAACAAAGTAAAATCCCGATCCCTCGCTCCACCTTGATTATGAATTTAAAGTCAAAGCCAAAGCGAAAGGCACCAGCTGCCAAGAAACATCTTCCACTGCAAAGTGACCAAGACGTGTTGTTACTGTGAAGTCCAACAAGAAAGTGCGAGCTTGACCTGTTTGTCTCTTGTACCTCTCGCTTAACGAACGGGATTCCACTTTGATGGTGCTCCACATACAAAATGTTCACTGCAAACTCAGGATGATTTTTCAGGCAGCCAAAGGTTTCTTTTTTGGTCCTTCCTGTGGATCAGTCCTGCCCATCGCCTTCACCTTTCTCTATTTTTCAATTCCACTGGGAAGGGAAACAGTCTGAATGGAGGTTTGCAGTCACACACATCTGATTCCCTTTTGCATTTATGGAGTTCGCAAACTTCCAAAGCCCATTTCTCCAGCTGTTTTCCACATCCAACAACCACACAGTTACGATGTCCAAATCCCATAAGTAAAATATGACAATATCAGAACCAGAAACAAAAGTGATATGGTTCAAAAGACTTGAAAAGATCAGCTTTGACAGTAGACACATCCCACTGGGAAAACAAACATGGTGGTTTGATGCTCATTTTATCGGAGGATCTTTACCACTATCCATTGCGTGATGATCAGAAGTCCAAAATTCGGGATGCATGTATTGCAATGTTGTCGTTCCATAGACATTTAAATACGATAGGAATGAGAAGCAATTATTAAAACTACAGAGAAGCATCTTAAAACAATTCAAAATAATAAGTCAGTTTTTAAAATGTGGAAAACAGAACCAGATTGTTTTAAACGGATTTTCACCTCAATGAGTTTTTAAGCGCTACACAACTCTCAAAGATTAGACATTAATGCTAACAACAACAACTAGCATGATAATCGCACACTTACTGCTTCTCTTTATAGACACAGCTCACTTATTTTAACCTCAAGAGATGTATAAATAATATATCTGTGCTGGGTCAAGACGCGTTTTACTCAAGATTCATGTGAAAAAAATCAGGTACAGCACGTTTAAATTAAAATTCTTAATGCAGGTAATTGAGATATTCTTTTTTTGCAGTGTGAAAACCTTCTGAATACCTTCAAGTCATTTCCATAGCACCTAGTAATCTGAACATTGGCCCGTGTTTTGTTCCATGTTACTCACTCACACCCACACACGTAATAAGAGACGACAGCCTTTAGAAAGTCCGACTGCGGAGAGATCCAGCCAGTACTGTATCCCATATACGCAGCAGACCCACACGTACACAACCAACTCTTTTTAACGCTCTGTTTGTGAGAATTCAACTGCAAAAAATAACTCCGACGTCACTTAAATTCAGAAGCTGGGTTTGAGTAGTTAAACCTGGTTAGATCTGGTGACTTTTTGGGTTTGGATTTTTGATTTCAAGCTGTTTTCTTGAAAATAGAGTAATAAAAATGTACCTTAAGTCATGGTCAACTCAACATTTTTATGTTTTGAGATCATTTAGTTTCAAAAAAATGTATGTTTTTTTTGTTGCTTTGTGCTTTTCAAAATAATTCAAATCGTCAATCTTTTATTTAAGTTTACGTCAATTTGATCTAAACACGTCAGCACTACTCAACTGAAACATGCATTGTGTAACGTTTCTGCTTGTTTTGTATGGATACGTCATTGCTCTGCTGGGAATGTTCCGCAGTATGACATTAAACAGCCAAACCTTACTCTATTTATTCAATTAGACGTGGTTTTATAGCTCAAAAATACCTTAAAAAACTGACATTCTGACTGTAACTGGAGGCTCTTCTCCACAGATCTGACTTGTAACTTGATCTAGTTTGGTTTCCATGATAAGATGATGAAAGAAGATTTAATACCATACCGTGAAACATTACAGACAAAGTAATAATAGTTTCCACGGAGAAAAGCATTTAACCGAGGCTCCACAATGCAGCTTTAAAATTCTGGATTCCAGTTTTGTTTTAAATGACGTCGGTGTTTTTTTTAGTGGGGTTTTTTTTTGGGTGCAGTCGTCGTGTGTTGGTAAAGGTTTTGTGTAAATACTGGTATGTGGTCCATAGACTCTACTGCACCAGTCTGCAGCTCACACATATCTAGTGCAGGTCAAGTGCTTTTACTCCTCCCATCGCTTTCAAATGTGCCACTCGTGTCAGTTAGGACCTTTAAATTATTTTATGAATGATAAATGCCAAATTAAGGGGTTATTTATATGAAGCTATATAAATATATGATATATATTAGATATACTGTGTAGTTCCAGGTTTGTTTTAGAGGCTTTTTGCACTAGTTTCGTTGTGTGACTCAAGTTTGTCAAAAAGCAGATTATTTTTGCAGAGCTTTGTCACAGGTTTGATTTCCTCCTTTCTATTTTAACGGTAGCTCGTCAACATTCTGTGTGTGTTTTTGTATTTATATTGTACTGTTCGACTTATATGAATACTGTTGTTATTTGGCTCCTTTAATACTGTTTTATAGTATGTGTCCAATAAATCCAGGTGAATGGGAGAAAACTATGGCTGGCTCTGTGTGGATTTATTTTCAACAGATTTTTGACGTAAATACCCAAATGAAAACGTGCTCTTTCCTTTATAAATGCCTCTTTAAGTGTCCTGAAATATATTTTAACAAGATTCAGTCTACGTATTGATGTATCCTTGAAGGTGTTGATGTCCAGACAAAAGGAGAGAAAGGTTCAGGAGCAAAGGGCGTGAAGAAAAGAGCCGCATCCCGTCCGTAGTCACAGCGGCGTTTGTTTCCCGTGTACGTCCTTACGTCTCTCCGTCCTGGTTCAGAACTTTCCTGTTGATGCGTGCTTCACTTATGCCTCTGGTATCGGGAGCGCGCCTTGTTTAAAATCCACATCTTTCCAAGTTTCATTATCAGTCTCCCGGTTCTGTACCATCCAGTGCGCACGGAGCAGCACAGCCCTGAGCGCGTCTCCACTCTGTGCACACTGAAGCCACACGGTCAGATGTGAGTTCATTGTGTCCCGTCCCTGGTCAAACTCTCACCTCCACACTACCCCGTGTCTGTAGCTCTGAAACATACCCGTCTTTGACCTGTGAACTAACGCCATGCACTTTAAAACAGACTGAGAAAGACGCGCGCTGGTCTAAAGTTTTGTTGGTGTGACGCGGGGAGCACCTCGCAGCTGCGGGACGCCTCAGAGGGGGAGGGCGCGGGCGCACGAGGGAGGACAGGGGGAGGGCATCTGGAGTGAAGGGAGGAGGGGGTTCAGTCACGGAGCAGCCGGAGAGCTCCAGAGAACAGCTCTGCGGGACCAGCGCTGCTTCTGTCTCCTGTCTCCAGCTAAGCCCCGGATGTAGAGGAGTTTTGGACCAAACTTGATTGAGGCGGAAGGTTCCGGCTGGACCTGGTTTTGGCGCAGTCCGGATGGTGTGCGCGTGCCTCCTGAGGTGAGTGGAGCTCGTGAAGCCTCCTCTCTCTCCTCCCCCTCTCTCTCCGCGGGCGCGTGAGGAGCGCCTTCACTCGCGCCTCGGAGCCCGGAGAGCGCACACAGACATGGGAGCAGCGGCGGTCAGCACCACGGAGAGCGCCAAGCTCCTGCTCCGCGTGCTCTTCGGTAAGAACCTGTGTTTGGACGTGTGTTGTGTCGTGTGGCGTGCGCGTGATGCTGTTTGGCGGGTTAAATGTACTTGTGTAGTTGATGATAAAGTGAGAATAGTGTGTGTCACAGAGCGGGGCCCCGCACTGTGCGCACTGTGCGCACTGAGCGCTGCTCACTCCGGACCGGACCGAGCGCGTCTCTGTCTTTACTCTTTCACTCGTGACTTTTCTGCCAGCTCTGCAGTTTTTTAGCCCTGTGTGTGTGCGCGAGCGCGCGCCTCTTAACACTGTTCTTTGTGTGTGCGCGTGCGTGTGCAGGTGTGTTGCCGCTGTCCGTGGTGCTGGCGCATGAAGGGGAGAACCTGTCCGGTCTGTCCAATAACCCGGACAAAGCCATCTTCGCCGTGCGCGAGAACAGCACCACGTGCCTCATGGTGGAGTTCGCTGTCAAGTTCCTCGTGCCATATGATGTGCTCGCGCTCAACGGAATAGACGTAAGAACTTCATGTGTTCATAGAAATATGTCATACTCAAAGTTCAGACTCCACACTGTCCCACTAACAGTGCTGTAACAAAGAGACGCGCGTACACTCACGTCACTCCAGCACTTGGCACTTGTCTGAACCCCGCTGTGTTGCAGCTGATCACGGAGCAGGCGTCGTTCACGCTTCCCCGGAGCGCGGAGATCGAGGGGAAATGCGGCAGCACGGACTCTGAGATCCACATCAGCTGGAAGAACAAAGCGTACACTCTGCGCATTTATTTCAGCAAGGTGGGCAATGTTCAACTAATGAAACTATATGCACTGTTTTTCAGAGTTTGAGTATGTGATCAACTCTCTTGTGCGTGTGTGTGTCCGTGTGTGTGTGTGTGTGTGTCCGTGTGTGCGTGCGTGCGCGTAAAGGAGTTCCGTGACAAAGGCATCGAGGTGTGGAAGATCAGCAAAGTGCAGTTCGTTTACGACACGTCAGAAACATCGCACTTCATTAACGCCTATAACCGTGAGTTGTGCTGCGTCAGCACTTTCAGCCTCACACACTCAGCCTGTTCTCCCGTCACGTTCTGCTCCTGAACGTGCGGGTTCATGTCAGAGTGCGCACTTTTACTGCGCCTGTTTTCATTGAATTGATTTGCAGGGCCTTCTCCAGCACTGCGCACTTACTGGAGTTTGACCTCATGCCTTATTTTATTGACAGTTAGGAGCATTTTAGATTCATTTAATTCTTTTTTAGTATTTTATATATAAAGGAACACCTAACTAATCCTGTGTAACCCACTGATGCGTAATGCCTCTCCCTTGTGCTGTGCGCAGCGGGGAAGCACACGGCCAGCAGTCACCGTCTCTCCGCGCTCGTGACGCCCGCAGGCCGCTCGTACGTGTGCACGGCGCAGCAGACGCTCACGCTCATCTCCAGTGACCACCAGAAGGGCGTCACCGTGTCCATGTACGACGTCCAGATCCAGCCCTTCGACATCGCCTCGGACTTTGTCTTCAGCGAGCGTAAGAGTACACGTCACACACGTCACACACGTCACACACGTCACACACGTCACACACGTCACACACGGCACTGCGACACTGCTCACAAACAAATACTACTACTAATACTAACTACTACTACTACTACTACTACTAGTACTACACGGGCCTGCTGCTTTTACCACTGACGTCAGAAGGCAAAAGTCAAGTTTTATTATTGCACATTTCACATTTCTGGTCTTTTTTTTTTTTTTTTTTTTTTTTTTTTTAATTTACACAGGCCTACATACATTTTAATAGACCTACATATAAAATAAAATAAAAATCCAGGTTTAATTAAGAAACAATTTTCAAAAATGTTACCTGTTTCCTTTACATAATTATAGATTGACCCTTTAAAATATGTTACAGTATTCTTGCCAAGTTAGCACACATTTACAAAGCATTTTTCCATTTGTTTTATTCAGAATATTTGGAATTATTGTTACTTCAGAGAGGATAATTAAACAGAATAATAATAATAAATCTCCAAAAACATCAATTACTTCATTCATTTGTTTATGTTTAAGTAATGTGTCTTATATTTGTTTCTTAACTTGCAAAATGTATTGAATAAATATTGAATAAATGAATAAATACACAAACAAATCAATAAAAAAGTAAAAATAAAACAGTGAATATACCACATGATGTTCGGATGTTTTAAAGCCGTTCTAAATTCTAAACTCTAGGCCGCTGTGTGACCTTAGCAGACGAGTGACGGCGGAATAAAAGGTAAATGCATAAAAGCGGAGTTATAAAGAGAAGAGGTGGTGCGGCCGTTAAAGGGACGTCATTACCACTTTATGGGTTGTACAGTTTTACAGTTTTTACAGTGTCCTGGAGACGCTCAGAGCTGCAGACAGAAACAGGGAGAGAGAGAGAGAGAGGAGGGAGGGAGGCTGCTGTACTTTCACATCCATGTGCAAGATTAAAGATGCAGTTTGTTAGTTTAATCTAATAGTTGTAAATTGGGTAGAAAATGTTGATGCGCAATTGTCAAGAACTTGAACAAAAGCTAACTTCATTCTTGACAGAAAGACACAAGATCAAATGATGGTCAAGGCACATTCTGTTTTGTGTCTTGGCTGCAACTGGAAGGGCATCTGGTTTAATTGTTTTTAACCAAATCTGAATCTATAGCACTTTACATTTTACATTTTGTTCATTGTAAAACTAAATCTTGAGCTCTATAGATTAAAGGATCCATATTAGGCTATTTTCTGTCCCAGGTCTTTAGCTCATTCACCTTTTTGTTTGTAAGGACAAACGTTTTCGGGAGGAAATCTGTGTGCATACGGTGACGCAAAAGTGTGTGGAACTGGATTGTGTATACATGCCAGGCAGCTCGGTGGTGACACCAGGTGGTGACGTATGTGACGTAAACACATACGCAACCTGAGCAGATTTGACCAGAGTTTTATGTCTTGGGCAGTGTAGACAGAAACGCTATGGCGGAGCATATTCGACTTTTCCACTCTGGAGGGTGGTTTCAGATTTTTGCATTTTTAAGTCTCAAAAATGCCGTCACCGTCTAAACCAGGGGTGTCAAGCATACAGCCCAGGGGCTGGATCCGGCCCTCCGAGATCTTTAATCTGGCCCTAGGCTGATTTTCTACTAAAGTATTTATTATATTTACAAAAATATTTATCAATATTTATTTTAATTATATTTTCTATTAAAATACTGGTAATTTTCTGCGGTGCTTAGCAGAGCAATGTCTCCAGTGTCTCTGTACGTGGCCCCTCCCACCAGAGCAGCACAAATGAAGACTTGTCTCTTTCCAAACGCTCTTAAAGGACGATCGTTTTGACTGTTGACCGTGACACCCTCATCAACAAAATGTCCAACATGAGAAAAGTGGAGCCAAGTGCAGGATTTTACAAGAAAAATGAACTTATTCCTATTTGCATACAAGTTCATGTTAAAACATTGTGTTGAAATTGCAAGTTTCAGGTTGTTCATAATATTATAATATTTTGTAAAAGAAAGACTTCATCAATTAAGAAAGATTTCTGTAATAGATTTGCATTTCTCTGCACAAATATTTGAACTGAGCATGTAGACACTCATAATAAACGGTCAGTCAAACATGTGTGAATGAAACAAAACACAACTCCAGGTCTGTTTTTGGTTAGGTAACAACATTCTAACATGTCTTAAAGCTCACAAGAGTCAGTTTTGCATAGTATAGGAGCGTTAAACATATATTCATCTGTTTTTCCTCAGCGTACAAGTGCATCACAGACCAGAGGGAGCGTCTGGAGGAGACCTTGCCCATCGTCCTGGGGGTGATCCTGGGTTTGATCATCGTCATCACTCTGGTCATCTACCATTTCCATCTGAAACTGAGCACGCCGACGCCACAGCTGCCCCGGGACCGCTCCCTCTACAAGAACATGTGAGACCCCACCCGCCTGCAGGGGGCGTCACAGAGGCCCCAGCCAAATGTACGCAAAAGAATATCAAGGCCATAGATTTATATACAAGTTAAAAGGGATGTATTATGCTTAAGTCATGTTTTCATTTTAAAAAGGTGCACTGTGTAACTTTCTGGAGCTCGTTTCCATGGAGATGTGACATGTATTCTTGCTGTAAGCGTAACTGTAAAGTCTTCTGACCTGTTACTTGATGTGATGAAGTCCAGTGTTTGATAGGTCAATCTAATGCTCTATTGCGGAACTTTCCAAGAAAAGCAATAACATTACCATGCATGAGGGGCTGGTGGTGTACCATCCCCCAGACAAATTACATACTGCACCTTTAAATACAAATGGGCACAAATACACAAACTTTACTTTCTTAGTTAGTGTGAAATATTTTTTTTCACAATATGTTTCTTTCAATTTGAACATCTGGATAAGTCTAAAAAAACGTGGAGATTTTAAGACAAAGCGACATGGCTGTTGTCAACATGAAACTAACAGATATATAAAATATAAATGAGCGGAGTGAGTCCTGTACATAGACTGTATATATAAATGGACATGGCTAACCTGCTATCTTCCAGACAGGAAGTGAACATGGGATCGCTTCTGGCTCCATCCGCTGTGGCTCCAATTGACTTTGCATTGAAAAATCATCATCCGTCCCTTTGTAACTGCAGCAGTGAGCCTCGTCATTTTGGTTTTAAAATGTTCATATTAACCCGCTCCACGTGATCCTGCCATTTTTTTGTTCGTAAAATAAATTCCTGTTCCTCATAATGAACCTGGCTCCAAATTCACTCGTATAACTGCACTGCAAAAACAAAAATCTAGCCAAGTTCAGGTGAACTGAATTAAAGTTTTATTATGATTTGAGTTCATTTCACTTGACAAGTACAATTATCTGACAATGGAAGAAGACAACTTTTTGCACTTAACTATAACAAGATCCATTTTCATCTTTTAAGATAATAAAAGAACAACTCTTTGTTCTAAAAAAGTAGTTGAATCTAGTCAAATAAAGTTCTTAATTTGAGTCATTTTAAATTCGCTAAATATTGTTTTTTGCAGTGTGTAGCCTCAATGAGCTTCATTTGACTGGAGACAAACGCTATAACTGACGTCACACTCACTCAGTCCACTTCTTTATACAGTATGGTTTTGTATCAGGACTTTAAAAACACAGAGCAGCATTTCTTCACTATAACATTGTGAAAAAAGCAGATTTAGCGTGATACGTCCCCTTTAACAAAGAGAACATTATTTTTCTGAACTTGTGTGTATTCAGCATACTGAGGCTGTATTTCATTTGTCGTAGCTGTTGAACTTCTGCCTCTGCTGTCTCCTGTCTCACCTCTTCTCTTTGTCTCTGCACTGCAACAAAGAATATCTAAAACAACTTCAACTCAAAATGTTCACCTTGGTTTGACTCATTGAAACTATCGTATTTTCCACACTTTAAGGCGCTCTGGATTATAAGGCGCATTGTCATTGAATGGTCTATTTTCAAACTTTTTTCACTTATAAACTGCATCAGACTATCAGGAGCATGAAACGAAAAACAGATAAGTCAGTCAAACTTTATTTAACACGTTCACAATAACTCTCAACTTTGTTCAATTGTAACGTGTAAAAAAAAAATAAAATACTGTCTGAGACGCTAAATTGTTCGTGTATTCACAATAATTCATAATTGTTCATACAGTTGGGTGATTACGGCATTCAGCACACCCTGATCCTTAGCCCAGGCATCCGCGATCCATCGGCAGATCATGGTGTAAGTCGCTCAGTGCTGTCTCCCTGTCTTGGTGAATGTGTGTTTTCCTTCTCCACTGCTCCCACGCAGCTCGCACTTTCACTTTATAACAGTCTTGAGTTTAAAGTGGGCGTTGTGAGCGTGTCTCTTGACAGGTGCATTTTGATATTAAAAGGAATAACAGTAGTTTTACTCCTGATGCTCCTGACTACGGGAGCCGTAATGATGCAAGTGGTGCGGCTTTATTAAAGTCGTAATAAGACACCCCAATAAACTCATAAGGCGCTCTGGATTATAAGGCGCGCAGTCATTTTTTGATTAAATTAAAGGCTTGTAAGTGTGACCTGTAGTGCGGAAAATACGGTAGTAAAATTCTGGTCCTGTGGTGTAAATCCTTTATTTTTAGGTCAACAAGAAACAAGGCTCCATTGATTCCAACTCCAATTGACTTTTTTTGTACAGTTTGTGGGCGTCACCTGCTTGTCTCCATGGAGATACGTACTTTAAATGGTCTATCTCATGCATTAACATCTCAAAGGAGTCAAGCAGGTCAAGCGTCTGTATTATTCTATTTTCTGATCTATGTTATAATATTGTTTCATGGAGTTGTTTTGTTTTGTTTCATTCACACATTTTTAACACACAAACCCTGCATATTTAGGCTGAGTTTCCTCCATGGTGTTTTATTGCCATAAATCAATTCACTTCAACAGTGTCCTGAGACCAGCCCTCACACAGTGTATATCCTCCTGAGAGTCGGCCCATTCATTTGTGTCCTTTAGAGTGGACATTGAGTTAACCAGTCTGTCTTTTAAGTGCTTTGAGATAGATTCTTAATGGGGGACTAGGTTTCTGTGCCTAATCACGGCTGGCATTTAGAGGAAACTATCATGTCCAGGATAAAAAATTAACTAAATAGGAGTTTGTGGCTGCACTATGATAAAAAAAACTTAAGAAATTAAAAGGGAGTCTAAAAGCTTTTTGAGGCGGCTGTAGAAGCTTGTCAGAGAAGTTGGTCATCAAAAAAGTTGTTTTTCTTAGGTTAACTTCACATGGATTTAACACCAAAATGTCCCCGGTGTCCATTACAGAGGACATATTGCAAAATTATAAATAAAATCTCGATGCTAAGGTGTTCATTTACCTCCAAATAGAGAGAAAATCACAAAAAATAAATAAAATGAAATATTGCAGTACACTTTTTTTCTTCAGGTCCCAGGAGGATATATTTCTTTTTTTTCTTTTAATTTTTCCTCTTTTATAGAAGAAGAAAATAAAAAAAAACAATAGATAACAAAATAAATAAAAAAATAAGGCAGGTTAGGGCATAAGTGTCTTATTTGAAAAAGTCAATAACTGGACCCCACCTCTTCAAAAGTCGACACCCTGACCTGCAGTTGAGCCGTTAACAGTTCCATGGAATAAACTTGTCTGATTTTTTTTTTTTTATATCCACTGATCAATGGTCACTGTCTCAAGTTTCAGCCAGTAGATCGTGATCGTTTTTCTTGCAGTCATCAGAAGAAGATGCAGCAGAAAACACTGATCATGAGAGAGACCATCAGGAAACGTATCAAGTGTAAAGATCATTGGGTCCAACAACAGGTCCACAGCCAATATATTTTGTAGAACATCTTTAACATCAATCCAGAAAGGTATTTTGGTGCAGTCCCAAAATATGTGAGTTTGGACACACACAAGTCCACAATTCCTCCAACATTTGTCACCAAGACTACATTTTGAAATAAAAGTTTTCAGCGGGGTTTTATAGAATCTTAATTAGACCTTCCAGTCAAACTCTTTCCAAATTTGACTTCCCACACCTCGATGACAACCACAACACACACTCTCCCAGGTATCATCATCCAAAGTCTCATTCACATTTGGACGTATTTGATACTGACAACACAATTTTTAGTGAATCTTGCTCACTTGCTTTTTCAGCACACTAGAGTTTTCAAGTAGATAAGTAAAATATTTCTCAAAATTTGTCGCTCCATTGTGTTCCATACAGCTTCACTAGAATCGTTTTGATGATTTCAGCCTTGGAATTGCTCGTCTTTACTAAACAAAAGGTAAAAGCCTGCTCCGATGTGTGAATGAAACAAAACACAACTCCAAGTGTGTTTTTGAGGCGATAACAGTCTAACTATGAGTAAAAGCTCACAACAAGAGTCAATTTTGTGTACTATAAGGAGTTAAGTTCTTTTTTGCAGTGCTTTCCTTTCCTGTATTCGGTCTTCTCTCATGGTGAATGCTTCCATCGTGTTGTGTGGACAGTCTTGTGAATCGTGCAGTGGCAAAACAAGGCTCATCTCTGCGTTTTTTTTGCTTTTTTGGAGTCTGTCCCTTTGCTTTGAAATCATGTCTAAAAGCTCTGAATGAAGCGCCACATGTTTCTGTACTGAATGTTACTGTAAAAATATATATTGTTATTATTGTACATTTGAATTTGGAAAAAAAAAAAAAGTGGAGAATATTTTCCAGAAAAGAGTCTATGCACAAGCCTCAGTCAATGCAATCCTGTGCAGTGTTTGATTCTCGACAAATAAACAGACGAATCAACTGTGTCAAGGTGTTTTTATTTCTTCTAAAGGTGCACTGTGTAACTTTTCTGCATACTTGTCTCCATGGAGATATTATTAGCCTTGATTATTCCCCAGGATGGAAATGAATTTGGTAATCACAATGGAGATAGGTTAATGGTCTATGGAGAAACAAGTCCAAACATGATATTTTTGAGGCACTTTAAATCGAACAAATATAAGGGAGATATGTTTAATGCCCTACTGTGGAACATTCCAGGTAATGAAATAATAAAAGACAAGCAGGTAGCACAGCATTCACCTAAAAATGAATGTTTTCTGTATGTTAGTATAGTTTAAATAAAATAAGGATCTCGATAGTGTGTAGTTTAATATTAAATACCAGAGATGGGGACTTGCAGGTCAGGACTTTTCAGACTTGAGTGACTATTTTTAGGACTTGGGACTTGACTTGGTCTTGAAACTCAGTGATTTGGGACTTGGGACTTGACTGGGACTTATGGGCCAGTGACCCAAAACTCGACTTGGACTTGGGACTTGACTTGGGACTTGACTTGGACTTGAAACTCAGTGATTTGGGACTTGGGACTTGACTCGGACTTATGGGCCAGTGACTCAAAACTCGACTTGGACTTGGACTTGGGACTTATTTGAGACTTGTAAAACAACTACTTGGTCCCACCTCTGATAAAAACCTCAAGACGGCCTCATGTGTGAGTACAGTTAAAAATACAGATTCTTTGGTTTTATGGTGTTTTTCCACACAGTGCAATGTCACTTTACATTTATCAGAGACCACCACTACTCACTCATGACATTCAAACAGGAGAGGTGGGCGAAGTGTCTTGCCCAAGGACATAGCAACGGTATATGGACTGTCAGAGGTGGCATTTAAAGGTCCTGTATTACGCAAATCTGACTCTTGTGAGATCTGAGCCGTGATGTAATGTTGTTAACGCATCAGAAACATACCTGGAGTCGTGTATGAGTCTCTACATCTCCAAAGCTCCAAATGCTGTTCCACCTTGTGATGTCATGTAGTGGTCATTTTAAACCACTAACTTTTAGCTTTAGTTCAGTAGAGATTGGTAATTCCAGGGTGTGGTGGATACCTCTGCCACCACTCCATAGTGTATTTCATTTCAATACATTTACATTGTTAATTACAGCACAGTAGTACACATCAACACACAGTAGTACACATCAGCACACAGTAGTACACATCAGCACACAGTAGTACACATCAGACACACAGTAGTACACATCAGCACACAGTAGTACACATCAGCACACAGTAGTACACATCAGCACACAGTAGTACACATCAGCACACAGTAGTACACATCAGCACACAGTAGTACACATCAGCACACAGTAGTACACATCAGCACACAGTAGTACACATCACACACACACAGTAGTACACATCAGCACACAGTAGTACACATCAGCACACAGTAGTACACATCAGCACACAGTAGTACACAAAGTTTCATTTAATTCCTTTATTAAGACTTAAATTCTAATTTGGGTGCACACATTTTAGTTAATATAAGTCTGATTTATTATTTATACTGTTTTATGTCTTTATGTCTATGTTTTTTTGTTTGAGCCACTCAAGGTCTGACCAAACATTAGGATTTGTTCACTGGACAGTAGGTGGGTAATTTTTTTATTTACCCAGTCAATGCTATTTGGTCGTGACATATGTAAAGCACCAAATTCTGTAGGAAGGAAGACAATAACGTCTTTCCCCTTGATAAAATTCAAACATTCTCTTTGTTCCGTCTTTAAATCCTCGATCTCGGGAATCCACAGGCTCCACAGGTAGCTTTAATAAAGCATGCTGGTCAATATGTGGGTCTAACAGCCATACAGCAGCTTTTATTAACAAAAACGTTAAGGTTGATTCAACAGGAGAGGACACCACTGCAGGGGTCAGGCTCCACCCTAAAGCTGGGGTGACATAATACAAGTGAAAAAATAAACAAGGCCAATATAAAGAAAACCATTATCACAACTGAAAACACCCAATTACAAGTGCCACCACCACCATTAACTATAAACAAGGTCACCCTCTAAGTGAGCCCCCTCCCCACCCAGCTACCTCCAGCCCACACCCCCTGCAGAGCTGTGGATGGTAAATGTACAACAGTAACTCAACTAAAACTCAACAAAACGGCAACCAGCACTGAGCCTGTGAACACAGAGCGGTTAACATAAAATACAATTAAAATAATCTGATCTGGACTGTTAAAACCCTTAAAATTATATTTACAAAAATTACAATTTTGTTTTTATTTAACAAGATTAAAATGTACAAACAAACATTTGTTTGGCTCAGCAGAACTAGCCATGTGTTAGGCCTGCTCAGGAAGAGGAAGTCACCTGGTTCACCTCTGACCACATGGCAGAGATCACATGATCAGCTCCTTGCCACAATGAACATTTTAAAGTCAAGGTCTATGAAATGTCACCTGAGGAGCACCTGCACTTTCAGTACTTTACTGCTGCATGAAGGAGCTTGGTGAGCCGTGTGGGTTTTGATGTTGGCCTGCTGCAGTTCATTGGGACCAGCGTAACCCTGGAGCTGGAGGGGTCACTGCACATGCCACAGGTTCAGAGGGCTGAGGAGGACGTCCAGTATGTGCCAGCCTGTCCTGGTCAGGAGCTTGTTCCACTACCAACACAAACAGAATTTCAGGATCATCATCTAGTTCAGTTCACATTGGCAATCCTGGGTCTAATGTCAGTGTAATGTCAGTAGTTTTTCCTTGAATGGGGCGTATTTCAGTTGTGTGAATTTTTCTAGGTTTTCCTTTTCCATCTGCTGTAACCACAGTGTAAATGGGTCCACCATCTTGTGGGCAGTGGAGCACTTTGTACAGCACAGGTGACCAATAGTCCTGTATTTTGTGCCGGCCTCTGGCTATGATTTCGACAGTACACCAGCTGCCCAGGCTCTAAACCGTCCAGTTTTACCTTAGAATCATGAGGTCTTGCTCATCTTTCAGCAGAAAGTTGCAGTTTGTTTCTGGTATCTTCACAGATGTGATTTAGAGCATCTCGATGACTGGAGGTCCAGTCCTCTGCACTCGTCCACAGTGTCCAGTAGACAGTCAAGTGGAAGCCTTGGTTCCTGTCCAAACATGAGTAAATGTGGAGAACACCCAGTTGAATGTTGTTTTGTTGTATTTTAAGCAAACACTACTCGTGACAAATGTTTAGGCCACTGCTTTTTATGAGTTTGAGGTAGAGTACGAAGCAAATCATGCAAAATTCTATTAAATCTTTCGCACTGGCCTTGAGGTCTGTAAGGTGTTGTCCTGGTTTTACTGATATAATACATACTTCATAACTGCTGTACTTTTACTTTTGCTTCAAAACAATGTCCCTGATCAAAGTGCAACTAGAGTGGAACACTGAAAATATAAAACCAGTTATTGACTAGGACTTGGGCTACTGTGTTCGCAGTCTGGTCTTTAGCTGGAATAGCTGTGTGTATTTAGAAAATACATCTGTCATAATGACAACATTTTCTGTGCCATTTGATGAAACATCTAAGATGGTAAAGTCTATGGTCAAGATGTCATTAGGAGTGCCTTGAAGGTGGAAAAGCGCTATAGAAAAATGTGACCATTTACCATTTAGGCTTGATAGTCGTTAAATGCTCCATAAAGCTACATGGGTGCAAGTTCCCATGTTTTGCCAGTATACAGCGCTCAGTCTCTGCAGTAGGCCTGAACACATTTATCCATACCTGGTCAATAGCACCGTTTTCTGATGAGATCTAGAGTTCGGTCTACTCCCTGATGGCCATGTTGTTCGTGAGAGGACTGGAGTACTTCCTGCTGGAGGCTTTGTGGAAGCACCAGCTGATGTGTCAGTGGTCCTCTCCTTCAGGTGGTGAGACTTGCCTGTACAGGATGCCTTGTTTTTCCACAATTCTGTTCCATTGCTCTAACAATTTCAGGATCACTTGAGACATTGTGGCCCTTTCCTCTGAGTCTGGTCGTTGGCCCCGGTCCCAAAAGATTCGGAGGTCGTCTGCCTGCAAAAACAGAAAGGTTGGTATCGGGCGGCCAAGGGTCACTGTCACCATTTGAGAGATACAGTTGTGAGTTGTGTTTTTGTTGTCATCCTGAAAAGCACACCTAAGGCCTTCGGGAAGAACAGTTGTGGGTGCTATGTCCTCCATCTGGTCTGAGGTCACATTTTGTCTTGACAGTCCATCTGCATTGCCATTAGAACATCCTAGTTTGTATTTAATGTCCAAATCAAACATGCTAGTTCTGAAGCCCATCTCTGTTCTACTGCTCCTAATTCAGCTGTTTGAAGGTGACAGAGGGTTGTTCTCTGTACAAACAACACATTTGTGACCCAGGAGATATTCACAGAATTTCTGTGACTGCTCATTTAAGTGCTAAAAATTCCAATTTCATTGAACTGTAATTTTGCATATTTCGCTCTGTTTTTCTCAGAGCTCTGCCTTCACATTCTTGTGACAATACTGCTCCTAAACCATCAGGACCAGCATCTACATGTGAAAATCTGCATAAGCCACACAGGAGCTGCAGTGAGTTTGGTTTTAAGTGTTTGGAATACTGTGTCACATACCTCAGTCCAAACATGTTTTACAGTTGCTTTCTTACTGATCTTGTGCTTAGGAGAGTTCAGCTTCCAAGTATTTATGTGGTGCTGTGATTTGTGAGAATCCAGGGACTAAGTGTTTATAGTAACTACAGAAACGACTTCAGTTCCTGAACATTTTGTGGACACTTCCACTTCTCCACAGCTGAGATTTTCTCAGGGTCAGTTGCCACTCCCCCTGCTGAAACGACGTGGCTGAGATATTTGATGTTGGAAAAAGCAGCATTTACTCAACTTAATCTTGAGGTTCTCCTTCTGCAAACGACTCAGAACCATCTCCAGTCTCCATAGACGCTGTTCAACAGATGTAGAAAAAATCATTACATCATCCAAGTACAAAACAAATACTGAAAACTTTGATCAAATATCCTTTCCATAAGGATTTGAAACCCTTCACACCCAGCTACCTCCAGCCCACACCCACTGCAGAGCTCTGGACGATAAATGAACAACAGTAACTCAACGAAAACTCAACAAAACATCAACCAGCACTGAGCCTGTGAACACAGAGCGGTTAACATAAAATACAATCAAAATTAAATAAAAGTTAAAAGTTAAAAGCATCCCTCTGATCTGGACTGTTAAAACCCTTAAAATTATATTTTTTTAAATTACAAATTTGTTTTTTAACAAGATTAAAATGTACAAACATTTGTTTGACTCACCAGAAACAACCATGTGCTAGGCCTGCCCAGGAAGAGGAAGTCACCTGGTTCACCTCTGACCTTTATGATCTCTGTCATGTGACCCTTGTGTCACATGACAGAGATCACATGATCACATGATCAGCTCCTTGCCACATTCTGATCATGTTTTTTGGTGCTGGTTGTTGTTCACTCAGGTGATGTGGAGCTCTTCCAGCCTCCAGGTCTTTCTTAATGATGTGTCCATCTTCACTGAAGTGAACATGAAGTGATCACACGCAACTCATTTCAAATATTAGAAAAGGAAGACGGCTCATCTTTATGAACAGAGGAAATGACAAAAATCTACAGGCTCATTTACAGTGACAGGATTAAAGGTGCACTGTGTAACTTTTCTAGGGAGGGTTCGTCAAATGCTTTTCTCTATGGAGATGTTATTGCTTTGTCTGGAATGTTCCACAGTATGGCATTAAATCTTTTCGTCATCATGGAGACCAAACCAGTCCAAGTTACAGGTCAGATCTGTGGAGAGGCGACCCCGCTCACAGTCAGAATGTCTGTTTTTCTATGTATTTTTAAATGATAAAACCACATGTAATTATTTTTTTTATGTAAGGTAGAGCTGTTTAAAGTCACACTGTGGAACATTCCAGGTAGAGCAAGAACATCTCCATACACAGCAAAAAGTGGAGTGTTAAAATCAACTCTCAGAGAATCACTTTGAACATTTTCTCAGGGTTTATATGAGTCCAATCTGTTCTAGAGTTAATTTAACATTTTGGAAATGTTCATTAAGGAACACTGGACCAAAGTGTTTAACCCAAGAATCAAGAGTTATATTCATTAAAATACACTTTGTAGAGTTCTCCTGATTTAGCTGAACACTTTATTTTAGTTAATTTGACAGTTTGGGGAGAAGTAACTGACTACACACTGTGAAGTGAAAATTAAAGTACACTGTAAAAAAACAAACAAACCACACATTCAGTGCATTTATTTTCTTTAAAACACAGTAAAAGATGAAATTTTGAAAAAAAAAATGGTTCAAACTGGTTTTCTCTCGCAGAAGTGGTGGGTACGAGGTGTCAAATTAACACTAAGGGGAGTTAAATTAACACTTGGGGAATTTAATTAACTTCAACCATATCAGCTCTGGCAAATAAACCCAACTCCAACCCCCATTTAACTTTCAAATAATTATAATAACACTTTTTGTGTCAAAAACAACTCTGAAATATTTTACCCTGAAATTTGAACCCTCCAGTATTTGCTGTGTAGAAACAAGCAGGTGATGGACTCCAACCAAAACGTTACATAGTGCATCTTTACACTGACATCTTCAAAATCATTCTGACACAACAGAACCTAAATATTGTGATAAATTTGAAGTTCAAACTCTCTCTGTTCCGCTCTGGTCCTGACGGGAGACTTCCTCGCAGCAGTTACAGATGTGTGTGACAGAACGCTTCATTTCAGTCCCATTTCTCTGATGTTTGTCTCGATGTGAAATCAATAGTTCATCTTTAAGTACGTGTCAGACGGGTGTATCCATCTGCCCAAACTGCCCAAACCCAAACCAACTAAATCGATCACCACAGCCCCCAGAGACAGGACAGAAGAATATAAGTGTGTTAACCATGTGGGATATTGATACACACAGAGAATGTGATTTAAAGATCCTATATTAACCAAAACTGACTCTTGTGAACTTTAAGCCATGTCATAATGTCACCTCCTCAAAAACAGACCTGGAGTTATGTTTTGTTTCATTCATGTTTGAGTAATCCGTTATTAAAGCTCAAAATGCTCTGTTCCACCTTGTGATGTCATGAAGCGGTTGTTTTCACATTAACCTTTTATCTTTAGTTCAGTGGAGACTGAAAATTCCAGGGCTGAAATGATCCAAATGATTCTCACAAAAGTGTAAAAACAAGATTTAATAGTTTGAATTTTGTAATCTTCATTGTGTTTTAATGCATGAGTAGTTTAATCAGTCATATTCACACTGGTGGAACAGCTACTCAATGTTGTTACTTAAGAAATAGTACTCAAGTAAAAGTAGACATGAAAAATAGAAATTACACTGTAAAATCTGACACTAGGGTTCACTTGCATTCAGCTCGTTTACTTTACTCACAGCTACGAATGAGTGGATCTTAATGATTGTGGTAAAGTTACAGTTGACTTTCAGGGTGAAAAAAGCTCATTATTTCAATTAGACTAAAGTCGACTTGAATGAGACGAGTAACTTCAACAGTGACGTGTTACTGCCAAGAGTCCAGCTCCATTTCTTACTCTGTTCCGGTCCTACTTTTGCTACCTACCTGTTTTTCCTACAGCTCCACTCATTCCCTGATCCTCCCAGAGCGTCTCTATATCCTCCCTCTGTTCATCAGTCTCTATATCCTCCCTCTCATTCAGTCTCTATATCCTCCTCTGTTCTCAGTTCTATATCCTCTCTGTCTCTATATCCCTCTGTTCATCCAGTCTCCTCTCCAGTTCATCTCAGTCTCTATATCCTCCTCTCTCAGTCTCTATATCCCTCTCCAGTCTCTATATCCTCCCTCTGTTCATTCAGTCTCTATATCCTCCCTCTGTTCATCCAGTCTCTATATCCTCCCTCTGTCTCTCTCCAGTCTCTATATCCTCCCTCTGTTCTCCAGTCTCTATATCCTCCTCTGTTCATCAGTCTCTATATCCTCCTCTGTTCATTCAGTCTCTATATCCTCCCTCTGTTCATCTCATCTCTATATCCTCCCTCTGTTCTCAGTCTCTATATCCTCCCTCTGTTCATCCAGTCTCTATATCCTCCCTCTGTTCTCTCATTCAGTCTCTATATCCTCCCTCTGTTCATCATCTCAGTCTCTATATCCTCCCTCTGTTCATTCAGTCTCTATATCCTCCTCTGTTCATTCAGTCTCTATATCCTCCCTCTGTTCATCTCAGTCTCTATATATCCTCCCTCTGTTCATTCAGTCTCTATATCCTCCCTCTGTTCATCAGTCTATATCCTCCCTCTGTTCATCAGTCTCTATATCCTCCCTCTGTTCATCAGTCTCTATATCCTCCCTCTGTTCATATCCTCTCTATATCCTCCCTCTGTTCATCAGTCTCTATATCCTCCCTCTGTTCATCCAGTCTCTATATCCTCCCTCTGTTCATCAGTCTCTATATCCTCCCTCTGTCTTTCTGGATCCTCCCTCTGTTCCACCTGCTGTTCCACCTTCTAATGTTTTGTTTCTTTCAGTACTTTTTGAGTCCTAAGTGCGGGGCATTGGTTGAGTCAACATGGAATAACCAGGCTTTATTATTTACACATATTCACGATGTGTTTTGAACTTAAGCTGAACAAAAGCTTTCCTAAGTTTTTTTTCAAATACTAATAATTATTCAAATCCTTGTAACTGATGCAGATCTAAACAACATTATTGTAGAATAGAATGTGTTTTTTACTCTAACTTGTGTACAGAAGTAACGTTTACTTCAATTCCTCAATTCAAGGCAAGTCGTTTCCTTGATTTTACCAAATAAGATGAACTTACTCTTAAAGTAAAAGTTTCTGCATATTTCAGATTTGAGGAACTGACAGCAGCTTCACAACATGAGTTCTACGAATGAAAACTAAAGTTCACTTCACTTGTTGTGCCTAGTTACATAAAAGAGAAATTTACTGGACACCACACTCCGCTTTAGATTCTCCCTCCATTTTAGTCAGATTTTTCAAGGCAACTGGTTTCCTAGTTTAAGTATAGATGGATAGTATAGATAGTATAGATTAGATTTTACAGTGTACCTGCTCTCAAATGTAGTGAAGTAAAACTTAAAATGATCCTCTGTAAAATGTACTTTAAGGTGCACCATGTACTTTTTCGGATTTACAGTCTGCTGCCTGCTTGTCTCCACAGATGAATGTTTTGCCTTGGATGTTCCGCAGTATGGCATTAAGGCCATGTTTATAAGATGAGGGTCTGAACAGAAGACGCAAAAGTGAAGTCGCGTCTTCACTTTTTATTCCGCATTTAGACGAGCGTTTTCAGGAGGAAATGTGTGTGCAGACGGTGACGCAAAAGTGTGTGGAATTCCAGGTCTGGTCCATAGTTGTCTGGCTCACATTCTCGTGCATCGGGAATTTGACAGAGGTGATTGCAGCTCCTTCTCTGTTCACTAACAGTATCGCTGCAGATTCTGGACATTTGTTGGGAACCTCCTGTAAGTTTATTAGAGCTGCCAGAGCAAATTGAAGGTTCAACGCATGGAAATGATCTGACATGTTTGTTTCTGTGTTCTGTATGTGTATGTGACGTAAACATGTACGTGACGTGAGCAGATCTGACTAGAGTTTTGCGTCTTGTCCAGTGTAGATGGAAACACTATGGTGGAGCTTAGTCAACTTTTCCACTCTGGAGATCGTTTCAGATTTTGGCGTTTTTAAGCCCCAAAAACGCCGTCACTGTTTAAAAGAAAGGCACTTCTGATCAAATCTTTTGTCATTTTTACCCGCAAGTTGTTTCTTGTTGCCTGTTTCTTTTATTTAATTTGTTTGTTTAATTTTGTTTCTATTAAGTAAAACAGTGGATACCAAATGCCTAAAAAAGTTATGTAAGTACATTTACTTGTGTTACTTGTCTTGTACTT